TGAGACATCTATAAGAAAGCCACGAAGCTCAGAGGACCAAGGAGCCCACAACTGCCTCCTCTTCCCTTCTTCTCCTCCACTCCACAAACCCTGCTCTCTTCTGGCACTGCTGATGTTACCTAGTTTGGGTCATGAAACGTCTGCAAGAAAGCCACCAAACTCAGAGAGCACCAAGGACTCCACAGCCACCCTCCTTCTCCTCTTCTCCTCCTCCATTCCACAAACCCCCTCTATTCTGGCATTGCTGATGTAACCTAATTTGGGTCATGAGACGTCTGCAAGAAATGCTGAATGGAAATGGCACCTTGCCTTTCTGACAGATGTAACATAGCTCCTCAACAGTTTCAATGTGCAACTTCAAGGAAAGGGGAAGCTCATCTGTGATATGCATTCATATGTGAAAGCATTTGAAGTAAAATTGGACATACTCATTAAACAAGTGAGCGAGGAAAGCTTCTGTCATCTGCCCACAACTCAAAAACTATTTGAGGAAAAAACAGCAGTTGCATTCCCAAAGAAAACATGTGTGGATTCACTGGAAATGTTGTATATTTTCTTCACTTAAAAACTCATTCAAATAATTAACCAATTTATTTTTCTTGTTTCATTTTTTCATTTTATACTTGATTTTACGTTGTTCTATAATCATTAATTTTTTCCAAACTATAGTCCAGCCCTCCAACAGTCTGAGGGACAATAAACTGGCCCCCTGTTTAAAAAGTTTGAGGACCCCTGATTTTGACAATAACTTGAACAAAAGGACAAATGTAATTACTGTTTGGGATGCTAGTGATGAAGTCACAAGAGGTCACGTTAAACATTAAAACCATTTAGAGAAGAAATCTCGGGGAAAAATGCAAAAGATATTGAATAAAATTAGAAACAAAGGGATTGCATTGCAAAAAACACCAATGGATTCTAAAATCCTACATCAAATTAAATTCCTATGCCAACAGTCTATGTTAACAGTCCAAGAAACTAAACTGAATTATGTGAAGCAAAAACCTTTTGAATTTGTAAATTAACCAGAAGTTTGGCTGGCATATAAACTGAGAAAGGAAAAAGAAAATCATAGAGAAAATCCAAGGAGACAAAGGCCTTATTAAAAAGTTGTTTTATAATTTCTTTTCCAATTTTTATAAGAAACAGAAAAAGACACACAAAAAATAGATGAATATCTACAAAACATTTACATAAGCTCTCACAAGCTTAGAGACAATTTATGAATGAACCACCTTTGAAATATCAGAAACTGTTTAAAAAAATGAAAATAGGCAAAGCTCCACATCCACAATGTCCCACAAGCCAATTTTATAAATGTTTTGGGAATCATTCCTACAGCCATTAAAAGATATAAATGAATTGTCTACTACAAGAAGCAAAGATTCTTCCAATTTGGAAAGAAGCCAACATTGTGGCATTATCAATGAGGGAAAGATGCTTTGAGGATAAAAATTATAGACCAATTTCATTATTAAAGAATAAGTATAAAACTTTACTTCAATTTTGGCAGAAAGACTGAAGAAAGTTCTACAGCCTTATATTCATGAAGACCAACCTGGCTTTCTGCCAATTGAGAGTCAATTTGAGAACTGTTTTGAATGTTCTTGATCACTTACAATATTGCAATAAGAACCAATATTTAATATTTCTGTTTGTGGTGAATGCCTTTGACAACTTAAATTGGCTCTTTATATTTAAAGTCTTGTATTTTGGAGAGAAATTTTTTCAAGGGATTAAAGCAATATACACATCACAGCAAACAAATAACATTAATAATGGAGATTTAATCAAACCATGTGAAATTCAAGAGAGCGTGAAACAACAATGCCCCTTATCTCCTTTGTTGTTTATATTAGTGCATGAAGTTTTTACTAAAGATATTTAGTCATAAGGAGAAAATAATTAGTATAAAAATTAAAAAGGAAGTTGATAAATCATTGCTGATGATCTACTTTTATTTCTGCAAAACCAAAACTTATATAGAATATTTGTTGAAGAAATTATATGACTTTATTTTGAAGCCTACTAACCCTCCAAATAGAAAACAACAATGCTTCTCAAGAATATAGCTTTTTCAGATTATAAAATATTGGCAAGAAAGATAATTTTCAAGGTGAAGAAAAAGGTTAAGTATCTTGTGGTTACTCTGACAAATACAAATTCTAAAAAACAAATTTGTATCCATTTGGAGTGATATTAAAAAAAACCTTATTAAGACGGGACAATTTACAATTATCCTCATTGGACAGAATCTCAGTAATTGAGAAATCTTACCAAATGGGCATGCGCACGGTGGCAGCACTAGCACCCACGCACATGTGCAAGCAAGCCACACACACCTGCAGCAGAGTTAGTAGCAGAGATGGCACATGCATGTATCTGCAAACGGGCTGCTAGTGCCCATATGGGTGTGTAAATGGGCCGCTAGCACCTGTATGACACTGGTGGCGGCGCTAGCACTCCTGCGCATGCACAAACAAGCCACTAGCACAAGTGGAGGGCTGCATGCGCACGTGCACTCATTTGCCAGCCATTCCCATGGCCCGGTGGCCAACAGACCTCAGGTTGGAGACCCCTGCCCTATACCAGTGGTGGCGAACCTATGGCACACGTGCCAGAGGCAGCACTCAGAGCCCTCTCTGTGGGCATGTGCACTGTCACCCCAGCCCCGTCTCCCCCCGCAGCCTCCTCACCAGCAGCCCCCCCAGAGAGTCACCACTGAGTGCAGCCCGCGCAGAGCAGTGCAGCCAGGGACATGGCAGCTGGGCAGCAGGGACAAGACCCCACTCTCACGCCCCATTGCACACAGTTAATGCTGTGGGGCGTGGGCATAGGGTGTGGCTGCCATGACTCGCTGGGCTGCCTGGGCGATTTGCAGCAGGCCATGGAAGCGGTGGGTGGCCCTGTGGGTGGGCGGGGGGCGGAGCGGGTCCAATTATTGGGCACTCGGTTTCTAAAAGGTTCGCCATCACTGCCCTATACCATTTCAGACAAGTGGTTGTTCTTACTGACAGGAGATTTCTCCTTAATTCTAGGTTCAATTTCTCTTTAACAATCTCCGTTCCATTGTTCTTATCCTACCTTTAGGTGCTGTGAAGAATAGGTTGACTCCCTCTTCTCTGTGACAATCCCTCAAGTACTGGAAGATTGATATCATGTCACTGAAGAACTTTTGATATCTATTCCCACAATTGAATGGCTGAACAAACGTATGGAAGCAGCAGAGATGGCCAAACTATCTACTTTAATCAAAGAATACATTCATTTTTACTTGGAAACCACTTCTGAATTTTGTGTTTGAAATAGAAAAAAAATGAAGCTCTGATTCTGAGATTTGCGGCTGAGACAAGTTTGTTGTTATAGAAATGGCTAATACATATTAGGTATGCAAAAGTATAAAGTTGAGGCTGCAATGTTATTGTTTTTATTCTACTGCACTGAAAAAAGTAACACTTTTTTCCCCTTTATGCTACAGTTTATTCCCCCCTTTTCACCCTTTCTCTTTTTCGTCTATTTTCTTTTTCATATGTATGTTATACTTTTATAAGTTTAATAAAATTATGTATAAAAGAAAAAACAACTGCCTTGCTTAGCAATGGAAACTCTGGTCACAATTGTGGTCATAAATTGAGGATTTCCTATAGTGAATAAACTGTACCACTGAAATGAAGACTGGATTAAAGGGGTTCTGTTCATAAAATTGCAGTTTCTAAGTCAATACTGCAGGAAAATCAGTAGATTTTAGGATATTTTTCTGTAATTTCTTAACTTTTAATTATTTAAATTTATTTAAATTTAATAAAAAGGTTTTAATTAAAAATAATTTAATTTTAATTTAACCTTCAATGTTAAATTTAATTATAATTTATTTTTAATTAATTAACTTTTAATTAGTTAGATATTTCAAATTCAGTTTGTCTTAAGTGCAAAATATGGCCTAGCTCAGGGGTGTCAAACTTGCAACGTCATGTGACGTGTTACGAAGTATCGCGACTTTTTGCCATTGCCGGCAATGGGGTGGGCACGGTTTCGCTATGATGCATCTGGCCCGTGGCCTAGCTCATTAGCTTAAGGACTGCAATACAGAAGCTCTTTCATAAAGTGAGATAAACATGAAGAGTACTACAGTATGCCATTAAACATTAATTTATTAAATAGCAGAAATAAACAAAGGTGTTATCAATTTCAAATACAATAATAAGTAACTACCAAATGTAGGGCAGCAGCTTGACTAGATGTAGGGCAGGAGCATAACAAGAAATAATTTAATACCCAGTCAGAGAACGATGAGAGGCTGATGCATTTCTTACCCATCAATGCAACTTCACAGCCAGGAACAGGCCCTATAAGCTTGCTGCTAGTAGTAGTAGTAGTGGTAGTAGTAGTAGTAGTAGTAGTAGTAGTGATAGTAGCAGGAACTACACTCTTCTTCATGTAAGGATGGATCTAGAGCGCATGGCCAAGATCAACAAGCTGTCCTAATGCGTGCGTGAGAAATAGATGCACAAAATTATATAAGGGACATTTTGATTTTGTAAGCCTCCCTAAAAATTGTATCTTGATTATTTATTGCCTTTCTTGTACTGTAAAACAGCTTTCCCTTAATTAAACTGTTTCACGTTTCATCAATATATTAAGTTATTAACCTGATTTATTAGGTTCTTACTTCCTATATTATGTGAACCATGCCACTCTGGTTTATTCAACACATGGCAAGAACAAACCACAAGTCTGAACAATTGTACTGCCATAACTGAACCGAAATCTTTTGGTGGCAGTTATGCAAGTATTTGGGTTTAAATGGAAGAGCAAAAATTGCAGAATTAAATTTTCTTATCGTTCCTTTAATTCCTTGATGACATAAAACGAAATAAAATTATGTAAGAGTTTCAAAAACAGACTAGAATACAATGCCATTCTATTACTTATCACGTAATGGATATTCACCAATGTCATTGATTTGCAAAATTCAATATAGACTTCATAAAAACAGTTACCCTTTTCCCAATCAGCATAACTTTACAACCATTTTTCACTCCAAGCGTTGACAATGGTTGTTCCATTTCTTTCAATGACTTTCCTAATAGAAAAAGAATAACCAAATCCTCAAGTTCATTTTGGGAAATTCAACAAACCAAAACAAAAATAAAGTTTTAAATGTATTCAAAATGTGTGAAACAACTTTATTTTAAAAAAATATATTATACTTCGTATATATGTCAATAAAAACTTAAGTGCAATCTGTTTCCAATAAAATTATGAACCTCCTGCCCCAAATGCAAGCAATGCTTTGGGGAGTGGGGCAGGAAGGAGGTAGCATTTTGGAGGCATGCTGAGTTCAGAGCAAGTCTGCTTTAAGCTCAGATTCCTCCAAAAATGCATGAAGTATCATTATAAGAATGAAATGTTTTACAAAAATCTTCCCCCACCACAATATTTTAAATCAAAATAATTTTTGTATTAAGTTTTTTTCAATCCATCAAATAAGCGGTTTAGAAATTATTTTAACATTTCAATTTTATTTCAAATTTTAAAAATATTTTGAATTTTAATTTTCTTTAACAGAAAGCAAGTGAAATAGTTTGGAATGGTTTCATCATTCTTGATTATTATTAATATTTTTGTTAATATACATATCCTTATTTTTCAACTATTCCTAAGTAAAAAAGTTGATATGAAATATTATGAAAACATTTCTATGTCAAAATCTCTTACATATTTTCCTCAATAACAATAAAATAATTGTATATGATTTTAAAAACAACCCAGAGATGAATAAAATATGAAATTATTTTAACTATCACAGTTTTCCAGCATATTTAATACTGAATACAGAAAGCATTTTGCTTACATTTCTATATCAGGGAGTAATCTGGATAGAACTTAACAGGACTTATGACTGAATATACATGGAAGTTATACTTACCCTTATATATCAGTTTCTGAAAAGAAACTGGAACTCCAGTTACTTGCTCAGTTAGTAAAGCCAAATCATATACTGTTGGTTGACTATCTTCTTGAGAATCAACCTGAAGATTATGCTTTTCATTGCCTAAAGATAAACAATATAAAAATATATTCAGGTTCCATACAGGAAAAACAACAACTAACATTAGAATCCTTTTTAAAAAAAAATCTACCCTGATTTTAGACTGCTATCAAAGATCAGACCAAGCACAGTTTTAATTCTAAAATCTCTAAAAAACTAGGTAACACCAGACATTTCAAGGATTTTTACTATTAAAGTTGTTTTAATACAGATACAACAGTCATTTGGTAAATACACAGGAGTCTACTGCATAAATCAAGCCATATACAAATGTCAGCCCCAAGGATTCAACCTTAATTTCCTTTCAGTTTTAAATAAAAAAACCTTTCGATTATTATTATTATTTTTTGGCCTCGACAACAAAGTCCATATAACAGATCTGTCTGGTCTGGATATCATTGGTTTTCACCTCATCATCTTTAATCATTACAGCTTCTTTCTTTAAAAAATGTTTTGTTTAAAAAAACTAAACTATTTTTCCTCATAAATTTTTATTTTATTCAGAAAATTAAAATACAAACTTCAAAAAACTTCAGAAAAACAAAACTAGACAAAGCATATTAGAAAAAAATTGTGCATCCAGTTTTGCATCGTGGCGAAACGGGACGCAGGAAAGCAGAGCTCTGCTTTCCTCACCCGATTTCGTCCTGCTGTGGGCCCTGAAAAGGGCCTAAAGTCGCCCTGAAGAGGCGATGAAGGAAGGGTGCCTTGTCAATCACGGAGAGGTGGTGGTCTCTCCGTTTGATCCAAGGAAAGCCCTCTAAACCAGCAGGAGAAAGACTGGCCACATTTCTGCTGCCAGCCATTAGCTGCTGACAACTGAAGAACAAAAGCTTTAATTAGCACATTGTAAACAGCATGTTTGGACTGGGTGAGAAGGGGCGTTGTCTTACCTGAACGCCTTTTCTCAGTACGGAGATGGAGAATCCACCAATGGGTTTTCTCTGTCTGCCTGCTCTTGAGCCCAGGTAGCCAAACTTTACACGCCCCCTGTTGGTAGGAGATCCAGTCTTGACTAGGGCAAAAGTGGCTGATGCTAGGACGAGGTGTTGGCTCTCTAACCCCTAATACCGGCCTAACAGACCTTAAGGGTGGGTGTGGATTCTCCATCTCCGTACTGAGAAAAGGCGTTCAGGTAAGACAATGCCCCTTCTCCAGTACAGGAGATGGAGAATCCACCAATGGGACATACCAAAGCCTCACTGTCCCAATGGGTGGGAAACAGATAAGACCGGATCTACGTTCCCGGAAACCACCTGCTGGAGGACCCTCCAACCAAAGGAGGCATCCGCAGAAGCGAAGCGGTCAATCCTATAATGGCGTACAAATGGGGAGGGCGAAGACCATGTTGCAGTCCTGCAAATCTCCTCGATGGACGCCTGAGTGGCCCATGCCGCAGAGGTCGCAGTGCTGCGAGTGGAATGGGCTGTGATATGACTTGGAGCCGGCAGGGAAGAAGACTGGTACACCTCCGCGATACAAGCCCTGATCCACCTGCCTATGGTGGAAGCGGACACCTTCTGCCCCAGGGAAGCCAGGCGGGAAGGAAACAAAGAGGGCCTCAGATCTGCGAAAAGGTGCCATGCGCTTGATGTAACGCCACAGGGCCCTGCGGACATCCAGTGTGTGCCACTGCCACTCCAAGTCATGGGAAGGATTGGGGCAAAAATTAGGCAAAATGACTTCCTGTGCCCGATGGAAGAGTGAGTTGACCTTGGGCACGAAGGTGGGGTCCAAACGAAGAACTACCCGGTCTCGGTGGAAGATGCAAAGATCGTTCCTGATCGAGAGAGCAGCCAGCTCAGAGATACGCCTGGCTGACGTGATGGCTATCAGGAATGCAACCTTGTTAAATAAAGCCTGTAACGGTATAGTAGTAATGAGCTCAAAGGGCGGTTTCGTGAGTGCGCGAAGCACACAAGGCAGCTCCCAAGAGGGATACCTGTGTACCATGGGAGGCCTAGTGTTGCATGCGCCCTTGATGAAGGCGCGTATCCTAGGATGGTGAGCTAGAGGGACTGAATTCACGCAAGTGAGCAATGTTGATAGGGCTGCCACCTGCCTACGAATGGTCGCAGGGGCCAGGCCTCTGTCCAGACCATCGAGAAGGTAGTCTACAATCTGAGGAATAGTCAATTTGTAAACATCCAGTTGCCGCCTTCTGCACCAATGGCAAAATATTTTCCAAGTGGAATCATAAATGCGATTGGTCGCCGGCCTACGAGAGGCCTGAATCATGGTGATTGCCCCTGGTGAGAACGACTCTTGCGTCATGATACTGCACTCAAGCGCCAGGTGGCTAACTGTAACCACTGAGGGTCTGGGTGCTGGAGAACCCCCTGGTGTAAGGGGGAATCTTCCACGGAGGAGAACGGGAGAGATTCATTAGGTCGGCAAACCAGGGCCTCTGTGGCCAGCACGGGGCCACGAGGATCACTTCCGCCTGCTCCTGGAGCAGTTTGCGGATGGTCGCCGGGATGAGGGGGAAGGCGTAAAGTAGGCCCTCTGGCCACGGGATTCGCAGGGCGTCCGTCCCCTCTGCCCCTGGGAAGTAATAGTGGGAGAAATACCTGGGGAGTTGGGCATTGCCCGATGACGCGAACAGATCGAGGACTGGTTGGCCGAACCTTAGGGATATCTCAGAGAAAAGATCTGGATGTAGTCCCCATTCCGAGGGGTCTATCGTAGAGCGACTCAGAAAGTCTGCCTGCTGGTTCTTCACCCCCGAGATGTGCTCGGCCCTGAGGGAAGCTAGGTTGGACTCTGCCCAGGATCCCAGCAACCGGGCCTCAGACATAAGGGACTTGGACCTGGTGCCCCCCTGCCGGTTCACGTGGGCCTTGGACACCACATTGTCCTTAAGGACCAATACGTGACGGCCTCTGATCCGGTGGTGGAATTGGCGAAGAGCTAAGTGAATGACCGAGTTCCAGCCAATTGATGCTGTGTCTCAAGTCTGCGTGGGACCAACGGCCCTGCGCAAACTGAGCTATAGGTGGGCTCCCCAGCCGAATAGGCTGGCGTCTGTCGTGATGGTGAGGCGGTCTGGCTCCTTGAAAGGAGACCCCTTGGTTGCCGCCTGTGAGAACCACCAGCCAAAAGACCTGGGTGTGGACCGGGAGCCTCACCTGCCGGCTGGATGCGCTGGCATTCAACCACTGGAACGGTAGAAGGAACCACTGGAGCTCCCGCAAGTGGAGTCTGGCCCAGGGAACTATGGCTATGCAGGAGACCATTTTTCTTAGTAGTTGGGAGAATAAGATCAGTGGAACGGTGCGGTCTTTGTACACTCAGCGAGCTAGGTCCCTGATGCTGTCCAGCCGTTCCTGGGAAAAATAGACCATACAGTTTGTGGTGTCTATGATGGCTCCCAGGTGCAGAAGTCTGGATGAGGGAACTGTCTGGCTTTTTTGGAAGTTCACTGAGAACCCGTGCTGTTGAAGGACCTGAATAGTTAATTCCAGGTCCGACTGGGCCACCTGGAAGGAGGACGCTTGGATCAAGATGTCATCCAAGTAGCACTGGACATGTACCGATACCTTCCGTAGATGGGCGGCCAGCACAGCCAGGATCTTGGTGAACACCCTGGGCGCCAAGGAGAGGCCAAACGGGAGGGCCTTGTATTGGAAATGATGGCCCCTGTAATAGAACCTGAGGAACCGCCGGTGATCTGGAAGGATGGCGATGTGGAGATACACTTCCGTGAGGTCTACTGACGCCAGGAAGTCTCCCTGTCTGATGCCTCCCAGGATGGACTGGAGTGATTGCATCTTGAATTTTTTTGTATGTGATGTAATAATTCAGACTCTTGAGGTCTAGAATTGCCCTCCATCCCCCCAAGGACTTGGGAACCACGAAGAGGATGGAGTAGAATCCCCTTCCCTTGTGATCTGGCGGTACCAGTTCTATGGCCTGAATTTCTAGTAGATGTTGAATGGCCTCCTGCATAAGTCCCTTTTTGATTGGATCCCGCGAAGTGGAACAGGTGATAAAGCGACCCGGGGGGACTGGCCAGAAATTCTAGGGACAGGCCAAACTGGATTGTTTGTAAGACCCGGGCGTCCGTGGTTGTGAGTTCCCACGGATGGAAGAAGTGAGCCAGTCTTCCCCCTATGGGAAGTGTGGTATGAGAGTCACTTGGACCTCCTGTAGGGGTGTCCTGCCCCTCGAAATGGCCGTTTGTTTTGGTTCTGCTGCCTGGGTCAAAATCCCGATTTGTCATACGGATGGTCATATGGCTGGTCCTGTCTGGGCGTGTAAGGATGGGAGGGCTGAGTGGCTGCTGAACCTGCTGCTGGCCAAAAGGACTGCCTACGGGAATAGGGAGTGGCACACTTGTCGGGCCGTTTGATAAGATGAGCCATGACCTTCCGCTTGTCCTTGTTTCCCACAAGGTATGGGGTCAGAGCCTCCCCAAAGAGATTGCCCAGGTAGGGGGCAGTTGCGAGGCGCCATTTGGCCTTGGCATCAGCCTGCCAGTGTTTTAGCCATAGCATCCTTCTGGCTGTAACGTTGGAGGCTAGGGACCTGGAAGCAAAATTGGACGACTGTAGAGTCGCGTCTGCAGCATACTCCGTCACCGCAACCATTTTGCTTAGGTCCTGGTATGTCCGAATGTCCTCGGACAGGACTCTGGCCTGAAGCTGACGAAGCCATAAGAGGGTGGTTCGGACAAAGAAGGACGCGCAAGTGGCCGTTTTAATTGCCCATGCAGCCGATTGATGGGTCTTTCAAAAAGTTAAGTTGCATTTCCTGTCCTCCGCTTTAAGCACCTCAGCCATGTCCCCAGAGACCGCGGTCTGTGACACCAGAGGGGTCCAGGCTTTGTCTACCTTAGGGACCTCCAGGGCCTCAGTTAGGTCTGTAGAGGTGCTAAACATCTTTTTGTCTGTCCCGCCTACAGAGGGAAAGGAAGAAGGGGAAACCCATTGCTTCTTGATCCCTGTAAGGAATATAGAAGGACATGGAACATGGTGCTGGGCTGCCACCGTTTCAAAGAATAT